GCCACACACCTGGTGTGGGCAGTGCCACTTCCTCCAGGGTTGGCACCCCTGCGGCTCCCCTACAGAGGACGTGCCTAGAGGCCAGCATCGCCTCCCCTTTCTGCTGGGGCTTGGTACTCTCACCCCTTGGGATGCGGGTGGTTCTCGGAGGCTTTACACCCTTGTCTGGGACCCAGATAGAAAAAGGCTTTTTAAATTAGGTGATAAATGACTTGGCTTAAAAAGAAACAAAAGCACAGAAGGGGACATGGAAAAAGGCGACTTGCCTGTCCTTGTCCCAGTGGAGCCCTGTCTGGCCCCAGACGGGCCACGTCTGCGTCGGCTACTTCCGGATCCGCAGGGCCACGTGGCAGCGCAGACGTGCCCCCTTCCCCGCCACCCCCGTCCTCCACCCGCATCCTGGAGAAGGCTCCCTGTCACTCCACATGTGTGTTAAGTCACCCCCCACCCAAGAAAATGGCCCCCAGCTCCTCTGAGGTCACCACCTCCAAGCACAGTGGTTCAGAGCCCAGACCTGTCCCAGTGCTGATGCTGCCACGTGAACCGCTGTGTCCTCAGGCAAGTTCCGTAACCTCCCCGTGCCCCCGTCTCTTCCTCGGAAACACCGGAGCTGCTTGGTTGACACTGGTCGTAGTAAACGCTGCGTGCGTGTTAGCTGTCGTCATGGCTGAGGCTGCAGTTTTGTGGGGATCCATCACCCCTTATCCTGTAGCTGACGTCGCCAGTCCCTCTCAGGTGGGACACAAGGTGACCCTGGCACTCCGTCCCCACCCCACCCCCCGCCCCGTGCCCTCGCCTCCACCCTGCGGGCCTCTGCGGGGTGGATTCCTAGAATTCGACGCCCTGGGAAAGAGGGATGCGTGCTTTCGGTTCGGGACAGCTGCCAGATGTGGTCCGCATAGGCCAGTGCTGCCTGCGGGAGGCCTTGTCCCCCCCGTCTTTGCCAGGTCGGCTATCGGGCTTTGATCGACCCCACCCCCCGCCCCGTGCCCTCGCCTCCACCCTGCGGGCCTCTGCGGGGTGGATTCCTAGAATTCGACGCCCTGGGAAAGAGGGATGCGTGCTTTCGGTTCGGGACAGCTGCCAGATGTGGTCCGCATAGGCCAGTGCTGCCTGCGGGAGGCCTTGTCCCCCCCGTCTTTGCCAGGTCGGCTATCGGGCTTTGATCGCGGCCGTCTGAGAGATGGAGAATACATCTCATGGCTCTGTCTCCCATTTATTGGGGGTGAGACTCGGTATCACTGGATACGTCAACACTGGGACTTCCTCCTGCCCTCTGCCTCTCACTGAGGCTGGATGGTACCATGGTTAATGGCCTGGCCCCAGTCCTACTGCCTTTCTGAGCCCATCCCCCCGTACTTGCTTATGTGACCCTTGGGCACATTACTCAGCCTCTTGGTGTCTCAGTGTCACGGGAGATAAGAGTAGACACCTGCATCGTAGGGTGGTTGTGATGACAGCCTGAATCATGTGTTAAGTGCTTAGATCTGTGTCTGCTGTATAGTAAGTGCTATGTAAATATTGTTGGTTTATAGGAGCTCTTTGTATATTGAGGAAAGCCCTTTTGTTATAGATTGCAAATATTCCTCCAGGCCAGGTGGTTTTTTGTCTTTAGAGGTTGCTCTGGTTTTCTGGCTTTGTGGAGTAGAAACGGTTGTCATTGTCAGCTGGTGTGCGTGCCCCTGGAGGTGGCCCCTGCGACTGTGCTCTGTTCTCAGGTGCCCAGACCTGTGGGGAGGTGGCTGGAGTTCCTGGCCTTCCACCGAGGGGTAGAAGGGTGGCCTCACCCCCGGGTGCTGTGCTCTGTCTGGACACATTCTTGCCCAGGGGGAGCGGCTGTCACAGGAATCGGGGTGTGGGGCTGTGCATCCAGGGGCCTTGCTGACAGTGACTCTCCCCCACCCCAGGCCAGCGTGCTATCCGGCTGGTTCCCATAGCTGGATGTGACTCGCTCACGCCCACCGGCAGATGCCCAGCTGTGTGAGTGAGCTACGGCTGCCTTTAGGGCTTTTGGGACAGTGTCTACCCTTGGCTTTGCTCTTCAGACCCCTGGCTCTCAGTGACAGGCACTGTGACGTAACCCCTTGCTGAGAGGGTGGGACGCAGGTGGTGCTGAAGCCCCTTGGTACCGGGTTCCACGGCCTGTGAGTCTAGGCAGTTCTGGACATCGTCTGTAGGCCGTGTGCGGGATAGGGCAGAACGCGGGCACAGCCACACCGGCGTTGCTCCTGCCGGCAGCGAGAACTGGACGAACCCCCAGAAGCCTGGGCTGAGTTCCTCTGGGCCCAGGGACCCTGCTCCTGCCCTTTCTGGGGACTTGCTCCCTGCTCAGCCACCATGCTGGAGCCCTGGACACCCACAGCACGTCACCCTCAGAGTCCCACGGGAGAGCTGTGTTGCAGGCGTCCCTGGCCAGTGTCCGGGCCAGAGCGGCTGCAAGCACCTGTGTCGTGCAGTCTGAGGCGGTGCTAGCGTGCACCCAGCTGGGGCGCAGTGGGGCTCAAGGCGTGTGTAGATCTGTGCCGCCGAGGGG